TTTTTTAAACCCAAGTTTGTAAGCAACAAGTAAGAATGAAATTGACTTGAAAGAAAAAAACTTTTGTGCCGCTTAAAGCACACTTAAAGTTTTCGTGTCCCATTGAATGAAGTTGAGAAACCATTCTTAAATTTAGGATTGAACCATGAAAAATAATATGGGAGTCAGGAACTGACTTGACTGCACTTAACAGCTCCTGTCCTGCTGTAGTGCTGTAGGATAAGCACTTGACTAATTGAACTGAAATATTGGTGGTTCAAACTCACCAGCCACTCCCTGTACCGGGTCGCTTTGAGTCAGAACTGACTCCATGGCACTTAAAAACAACAACACTGGTAGCTTAGTAGATTATAAACTGGACTGCCCTTGAACTCTTTACTGTATCTGCCAGTCACTCTGTGCAAGGAAGAGTAGGCTTTCTGCTCCTGTAAAGATTTCCAGCCTTGGAAACACTATACAGGGTCACTATGAGTGAGAACCAACTAACTCGGTGGCACACAACCATCACCAACCTCTGACAATAAAGAAAACTCACTCCAAAAGAAGAAAACATTGTTGATAGCCCCAAGTCTGGAAAGAATCACTGGGTATGAGCAATTGCACAAAGATCACTGCGTTCAGCATAAGGAGAAAGCCAGAGAGGTAGATTTGGGAAGACATGCAAATAAATTGTTTTTTGTTTTTTGTTTTCTGTACAATTTCTCCTGATTTTACCTTTACTGGGTAACACCTTCTGAAATACTATGGTCAAAAATTTCAAGTTATTTTTATGAACCTGGGTCAAGAAGGAAGAAATAGAAAATGAAATTGAATAGAAAATCAAATTTAACAAGTAGTTCTCAGTAAATTGCAATTTTCTAAACAATTTGCTTTGACAGTTCAGTCAATAAACATAAACGGCATTTTCACAATCCACTATTTCTATTATAGGTTTAAATTTGCAGGCCAATAGTAACCGGAGAGTTTTAAAAGGAAAATGAGATTCCAAGAACAGGAACACTGTTTACATTGTAAATATATACATATGTTTTCTGAAAATATATGGGAAATATCTGAACACAAGGACTTTAAAAAATATAATCAGCCCTCTATCAGAAGTTTTGAAAGATTATTGTTCACACTAAAGTATCATATTTACTTTGAGGACTTGTAGAATTAGAATGCTATAAAAAGATCTGAAGTTCAAAGACAGTTTTGGTGGTAAGAAATAATATTTCTGTAATTTGATTGTTCTACATCAAAAATATATGTTAAATGCTTGTGCTAATGTCATGTTTACAGTAAAGAGCTCTAGAAAATAGCCATTAATTAGCACAACGCTTCTGGATCTATTAACAAGAGGTATATTAAAGTCTCTACAAATGCAAAATGTTTCATTGTAGATAATACTACATGTCTAGGATTCATTTCAGGGCTATCAACCTTTCCAGCTAGAATGAATTGTGTTCTGTAAATAGATACATTACCAGAAACACAGTGGATATCCTGTTGAGATTTTTTAAATATTATCTTTGTGCTCATTGTTAAGAATAATTAATGCATTTGAACTTGTATTCTGGCCAACATGATCCACTGAAATAACACATTCCTTTGTTGTTGTTGTTGTTAAATGCTGTCAAATCCATTCTGACTCACATTAACCCTGTATAGGGTTTCTGAGGAGCAGCTAGTGAGCTTGAACCACTGGCCTTGTGACTCAAAGCACCTTTGTAGTCCAGCACATTAATCCACATCACCACAGCAGGGCTCCACACATTCCTTAGACGGTGCTACTTTAGAGATTATACTTGCTTGCCTAAAGTTAGCTTAATTACTGAAAAATAGTACTGTATCTCAAAAGAGAGACAAGGCAATTACTGTCCTTCTATTAATAATCAAAACATATTTTATGGTGAGACTTTTGAAAACCTTTCTACTTTCATCAAATTACCATTTTACCCCCAGAACTTTGAGACCTCGACATAATTTATTCATACCAAATTCTCTTTCATTTTATTACCTTGAAAAGAGATCAGTGACATTTTGAAGTGTAGTATTTACATTTTCATGGCAAAAATAAGAAATAAATCCATGTCTTGTTTTATTTTTTTAAGAGTTTTGGGGAGTTTTTTTTGAAACTTTTTATTGTGAATTAATTGAAGATTTAGAGACCAGATTATGAGTTTTACATTCAACGAATCACACACTTGGTTTCATTTCAGTGATTGCAATTCCCTCCGTGCAACGACAGTTACCCACATTCCTCCCTATTACCATTGTACCCTCCTTCCCAAACCCTTGGAACCTGGTGCCTAGGTAAATGGTGCCCTTTAGATCTTGAATGACTGACCATTTCATGGTGAGCAGACATCACTAGTATTGTTGTCCTCCTGGTTGGTTGAAACTTGGGCCATGAGGGTGAATTCTGTTCCAGACCTGAAGGGTGGCTTTTTCTGACCAAAAAGTCCAGTTTTTTGTTGTTTTGTTTTGTTTTTTGAATTTTGTCCCTCACTGTCTCCTACTGTATGTGGGAGCTTCTAGTGTGATCCTTTTCAGAGCAGTTGGCATTGGTAATCCAGCACCATCTAGTTCTTCTGGTCTCAGAATTACGGAGACTTATATTAACCTATTCCATTAGTACACTGGACTAATTGATTCCAAACAATTGAAGAAGCCAATAGCTGTACCTTACATGGCCATTCATGAGCTTTTAAGACCCCAGTTGCTACTCACCAAACTGGGATATAGAACATTGTTTTTGTGGACTATGTTATGCCAATTGACTATGGTATCTCTGAATCCATGTCTTATTTTAAATAATAAAGTTTACTTGTTGTTGTTGTTGTTAAGTGCCAACGAGTCAATTCCTACACATAGTTTCCCTGTATAGGGTTTCCAAGGAGCAGCTGGTGAGCTTGAACCACTGATATTGCAGTTCAAACGACTTTGCAGGTCTGATGCATTAATCCACAATGCCACACCAGGACTCCAAAGTTTACTTAAGTTGATGTTCATGCAATATAAAGAAAAATAATGATTATTTCAGATTTAAAGAATATAAAAAACTATGAATTTAACTAAACAAAAGAGTAAAATGTCTAAAAGAAACCCTTTTCCAGATGTAACTGCACTGTGTAGCCCTCTCTTATGTGTTACCAGAATATAAATCGAATACAAAAGGTTTTCTGTAGTTATAATTCTTAAAATCACTAATATCAAAGTTCCATACCACTTTAAGTATTCAGTGCATTGTGAGTGGTTTTCTTTTAACTATCTCCTGTGCTTTGCAGCTCATTCAATTTTTGATTTATAAGTTTAGAACAAAAATATTGATAATAAATTGCTTTTCTGATATACTGGGGAAAGTAGTCCATTGATTTGTCAACATAAAATTTATATTCAGACTCTTTAGTTTCTAGATTCTGCTTGAATCAATTAATATATTGTATTTGTTGGTATTGTTAAGTGCCTTAGACTCAGTTCCATCTCATAGCAATCCTGTATAGAGTTTCCCAGCAGCAGCTGTTGAGTTTGAACTGCCAACCTTTTGGTTCAAATAGACCTTGTGGTGCAGTGCTTATCCTACAGTGTACACCAGGACTCCACATATTGTATATTGTTATTGTTGTTAAGTGCTGTCAAGTTGGTTCCGATGCACAGTAACCCTGTATAGGGTT